CGTCCACTCTTTCAACTCTTTCATTCTTTTGTCCCGGGATCTCTATCTTGCCAGGAGCCAAGAGAAAACAAAACTCACTAGTTTATATCATCCAAAAGATCACAGGCGGCTGTTTGACTCTGTACTTAAACCCCCTTGATCCCCCCAAAGAAAGGAAAATGGGTTATTAGAAGTGGCCTTTACAGCTCGGAGAGACGATTATAAAAGCAGAGGGGTCAGTGGGTGTTTAATAGACCTTTAACCTTTATTCAGTTTGTTTCCCAAGACGTGTAATAGAGAGGTTATATGACTTTTTATAAACTTGAATAAGATTATTAAGATTGTTCGTCAAACAAATCGCCACCACTGTAGTTTATCAGTGTTTATTCCCTAATAATAGTATCAAGAGTGTGTGTTTTAGGATGGACACACACCAAAATTACAGACGCTTTTATGGCAACATATATTCAGGCCTAAATGTATTTAGTTCTGTTAAAACTGCTGGTTGCTTCTATAATGATTATCTCTGCGGAGATAGTCTGCATGCAGGTTTATTTACCAACAAATACACTATTTAACCTGTATGGTATCTGGTCATTAATGGAGCATTCGTCTAAACCAAATAGCAATTATTTTAAATACAATGATCTGACTTCAGTTACTTTAAGGAAGCAGCTATTGGAAATATGTGAAATGCATACATTTAGCCTGATAAGCACTGGCGCTGATCAGTGTGTGCACATTTTATTGTAATAAATTATATATTATATACACTCTGGCCTGGCTGTTGCAAAGGTTAATACGGTTGTGTAAATTTACTCCAAATATCATGTTATATATGTTTGCAGTTTAATTAATCGGACGTTTGGGTTACCCATGTATAAAACACTGCACACATCCATTTGAAGCGTTTGAAATGCGGGAAGAATTTGACCTTAAAAAATAATCTCAAATAAAAATCCATGAAATATACAAGTTACTTTCTGTTTCTTCCAGATGCCACACTACCACCTTCTGTTCACAAGGAGTAACATAAAAAAGGCTCTTTCGTTCCGACTAAAAAAGTTTAAATGACTAAAACAACTTCACTAAACTAAAAACGACAACTAAAATAATCTTTACACCTTGATCCATGCGCAATATTATAACGATATTATATATGCTTTATAACCATTGCAGAGGGCCTGGCTACTTGTTGGCTGTGGCCTTTTTTAAACATTTCCAGTGAATAAACCACAGCAATAATAATTCATTAAAAAATATTCATGGCAAAACAATAATTCAGACTGTGTTGGGAAAGACCTTTTATATTGTTGTCTGCTGGGTATAAATATGTCTCTAACTAAAAGTAACTTTTAGAAGAACTCGGTTAAAATAAAAGCGTTCGAGAGGCAGGACAATGTATAACATTTCAATTCAACATTTAAATAGGCTCCTACTAACAGTCTAATTTAACTATGTCCGACCATATTAACTTACAATACGGGGGTCTTCAGTCAGTCAGAGCCACATGCTGTAAATACTGTTAATAATAATAATGCGGGGATGTTATAAATCAATGTTCAGTTACCAGCAAACACAGCCATCATCACCAATTTCTTGCGGCTGCCTATACACAAAAGGACCTATAAAATCAGTCTCCTGCACTAAACCAGATGTTCTCATATAGGGAATGCACAGAAATATCAGAGCAACGACACAAAAAAAATGAAATGCAATAAGTTTAACATGAAGTCAGATTTGAGACAGACACACAGTGAAAGTCAGCATTAAAGCAAAGATATAAACACAATATTGAGTTGGACTTTAAGTTCCAGGATGGCGTTTACCCTACATGCTCTTATAGTCCAGAGGATACAAATAATAAGAATACATTAAATAGGCCTAATACACATTGCATATATATGTTAGCATTTATTACATTGCTTTTAGAGCCTGATCCGTTTATCAGCTTGACTTCTCAGCAAACCTGTTGCCTGCAAGCAGAAATTCATTAATGAAGAGTTAATGTTAGAAACCTCTTCATGTTGTGCATATATGATCTGTACTGTCCACTAGAGGGCGCTGGAGTCTTGACCTTCTTGCCTTTAAAGCTTTTTGTTTGACCCCCGTTCATGATCAGTTCACGGTCACCTGTAAACTGCAGTTTTGAACCACTGGGACACCAACAGAGCAACCCCATGAGCTGATTGCCACCGTTACTAGCTGTCTGTAGCTGGTTGAACAGTCCTTATCGACAGAAAGTCCTCCGGTGACCCTTCAATGAATAATTACTTCAACATGTAAATCAGTGGAACAACTGTGCGTTTATAAGGTACATTTACTGTTCACAGGAGGGGAAGCTTTGGTCTAATATGTGAGAGTTTTGAATCTCACTGAACTCTATAACACACCTCCATCCAGCGTCATTACAATAGTGTGGAGAGAGTGTGCCAATCATCTATTGGAAATTAAGGGGGAAACATTTTCTTATGTCGACTAATGAGGCAACATTTCTTTTAAGATGCAATAAATGTGCTAAATGTGATGGAAAATTGCCTGAAAACCCCATAAACCGAACTGAATCACAAACTGCATCACTTTGCTCTAATGTAAATAGGTTTCTGATCTGTCCTTTACAAGGTAATTATTTCAACAATGCAGAGAATGATTACTGTCACAAGTTGTTGTGTGTTTTTTTTTATTGTGCAGCTTTTAGCATTTTTGGTGCAGTGTCACAGAACATTAAAATTGTTAAATAAGCTGGCCGCCTGCGGTTTAAATGTTCTGTTCTCGTTTTGCCGTAATGATAGAAAATAACGTGGATTCTGCGGCTCTCTAATGATGATCAACAAGCACAGCAATTAAGCTTTATAACTGCACCGTGGGCCGATTCCTTAACGAGCCACATGCTGCTGACTAACATTTTCATTTTTGCAGGGTTAGTTAATTAGCAGACCTGATGGTTCAGAAGTGCAAGGACTTGATTCCTGGCGCAAAAAAATAAATAAAAATAAAACATGCTTATTGCCACATGGGGCAAGCTCAAATTAAACTGCAGGCTGTTAAATGATTATACAATGCTTAACATGTGTTTTGTGAGGTTTTAGTCTTTAGCTCAATATTTAACAGAATTATCAGATGACAGCTGGATGTTTTTGCTGGATTATTCTGCATTGGGATATTACAACAATACAATATTGTGCTATTAGATTAGATTAAGAGGTAAACCTCCCTTAATCAATAAGCTTACTGATTACAATTCTAAAGCATTAATTTTAAAGTCTTTGTGAATCTCTGGGTCCTTGTTTTTGATCTGTTCCTGTAACATTTCTCTGTTCATCACAAAAGGAAATAGTTTCAACCTTTTCAACATAATGGTTGCAGATTTTACTCTGTTTTCACAGAGTACTGCATTTCTGTAATCACATCAAATCTATCATCAAAATTTAGAATGTGTTAATAATTACTGTAAGTGAAACAGAAATACATACACACACAGAGGGTTTCAATCTCTGGACCTTTATATGGTCAGCAGCATAACATTGTGTCAAACCATCCTCATCTGATGTGGCAATATGGAACTATGACAACCAGCGCCACCTTGTGACAGATCAAGGTACTGTCAGACTGCCTTGATGATCATTGCATGGCCCTTCTGCCTCTCAATCAGCCTCCTGAGGATCCTGATGGTCCTGGCCCCAGACCAGTGTAGGTCCTGTATGACTGGTGCCTCACCCACCCTCAAGCATCTGAACTGTACTCATGCCCAGCGGTTATTCAGCTTTCCTGCACGGGGCGTGTGAACATAAGATGATGTCATCATGTAATGTAGCAGACTGTAAGGCCTAACAGACACGAGCCATCTATGCCACAAATAAAGCCATTTGCAAACTCAATAGGACGTGAAGCATCCTGTTTCCCCAGTGAACGTTAGCAGCATCAGGATCAAGCAACAAAAACAACTAAACATAAACCAAACAAAACAAAAAAAAGCATAGCAACAAAAAATGTGGCTCCCTGTGGGACAAATGCTTTAGAAAATAGGCAGTCAATGTGTGATTTATGGGGGTAAATGATTGTGAAGACAGATGGGGTCATGCAGATGGAAACGGGTGTCATTTTGAAAACTCCTATTGGTGAAGTTCTGAGAGTGCAGTTGCCAAAAAGCTTTCATTAATGACTCACCGTACATCGTCAGAAAGGATCATTCAGAAGAAAGTTTATTGCTGTCTCATGCTGGAGAGTCTTTCAGTGGACCAACAACAACCCAGAGCATTTCCACTCCACAATAAAGTAGGCCTCCATTGACCAAAAGGAAAGTGGCTCAAAGTTTACTGTGATAGATCGTGGGGCCTTTAACTGTGGGGGCCAAATCCACTCCAGCTTATTTTAGTCAAGTGAACTGTACCACTTAACTCACACAGCCTGACTTCACGTAAACAAATGTATTCAAAACATTGATTAATGATATCGTGGGTTAGAAATACTTTCTACGTTGCACACAGACAGAAACTGTAGAAAAAGGAGGACTTTATGTTACATATGTAAGCTCTAAATGCCCCCCAAATCACAAAATACTCTGAATGAGTCTGTAAACACTGAGAAACCACCTTTCTGCATGCACATGATACAATCTGGCCAACAGAGGGCAGCAGAGGCCATAAATTAAATCAGAGAGGCAGACTTCTTCCCAAATCCAACAAGTCATACCACTGTTCTCAAAATAATGGCAACTGCGCCATTACTTGTCCAGAGATCTCCAACAGTAAAATAAAATTATAAATTAATATTTGATATAATTTGTATATAAGAGAATGGGGACTGTACTGTTTCTATAAAATAAAAATAATCAGTAATTTTCACATGCTGAGTGAAAAAGAGTGTCAGAGTGAAAATAACCTCACTCATGTTAGAAAATTCAGGAAAAGGACATCATGCTGATTCACAGACTGGACATGAGCCAGTTCGGTCTCAGTAGTTTGTGTAGTACTTTCCAGAATCAACTGGCAGACATGTTGGAAATGACTTCATAGAACAAATTGATACATAAAGTTTTATTACATAGTGTGAGACATATATAGATTGTCATTAAGTATACATACAAACAGGCATGTTTCTAATATGTCTATGACAGTGATGGCTCTATTATTTTCATATTCAGTACAAGCAGCAGCACTGTCCTAACATCTTTAGTATAAAATAAAGTTTTAAAAAAAGTTCTATGTGAGAAAATTCTGAAGGGACACACTGTACAACCGAGTGCGAGGAAGTTTTCCTTACATAACATTTTCAACTACCATGTTTTACAAAATGCTGTACAGTGCTCCTTTAAGACATGTCAGTCAGACCAAGGGTTATGGCAACACAACATATTTCTCTTAATGACACATGAAGCTTTGATCAGCCCTAGTAAGTAAGCAGCGGTTAAGCCCGGTTCACAAGCAACTCTTATTGGTTTATTATTTCAAGGTTTTCTTCGGCATGGTTGGCATTCAGCAAATTTCCTGTGGAAAGTTCTACACTCCTGGCTGGAATATAGCCACAAATGTCCACTAACATGAGTCTGCGGCTAACACAGAGCCAACTAGGTACGACATGAAACAGCACTGTGTGTGTGTTGCTTACGATGCATCTAATGCAGTGCAAGCTGTGGTGTGTATACAGCATGCTTTACCATTCTACATATTGCTGATGTGTTTTTATGAATGTAAGACACCAACAGTCATCTGCTCTGTGTGTTGCTCATCTCTCCTCTTGCAGTAGCTGAAGCCTGTCCTCTGCAAAGTAAGGGCTACTGTGTCCAGTATCAATAGCATCACAGTCATCTACGAAAAACACCAGGTCCTGCGAACCAAACACAGACATGTATGTAAGTAAGTGGTCACGCCACTCAAGCTTATAAACAGGATTCTTGACGTGAGAAATAGTGCAGATGTTTTCGATGTTCTTACTCGATAACAAATTCTGGTGATGATGGAGTACAAGTTCTGGATTTTACGTTTCAGCAGCACCATTCTGGGACGCTCTCTGCAGGACGGGCTAGGATGGTTCAGCACCACGTAGAGAAAGTCACGCAGTTTGGTTGTGATGCAGGAGTTCTAAAAAGATAAAACTTTGCTTTTACATGACAGTATTTACAGACTGTAAGCCCCTGCAGGACAAGTTAACTCAGCTGAATTGACACTTTTCTGAATCTAGGGTACTCAAATATTCTCATTAGCTCAGGTAAGATTTTGTCACAGAGAACACAGTACATGCACTGGTTTGACTGATTTTGCATTGAACTAAGCATCAGTGAGAGTGAAAGGAACAGCTCTTATCTAACTGGGCTTATTCTGCCAACGTGTTGAACCAATTGGTCTCTCTCGTTGACCAAACCCTGCTTGTTATGTACAAATTAGTCTGTTACACTTGGCTGTTACCCCACACTGCATGCTTTTTTGTGCATAATATTTGGCTATGTCCCATTCTTCTTCATGGGAAATACTGAGTTCACTAATTAGTTGCCTGTAATATTAATCGGTTATGATGCTTGCTGTTGACCCTTCATCCCCATGAACTCAGACAGGAACAGTGGCATGTTTTGATTTGAGTGAAACCAGAGTAAAAGTTACTCTGTGCTGTTGCTCTTCATCAAATTTTGCCTGTGTTATATGATGCTGCTGTGAGCTCACAGAGCTGTCAGTTTCACCAGAGACCTCATAGATTATACTGCTTAGTTGTGTTACTGTTGGGGAATGAGACATTATATTTGACATTCACAATTCTAGTAAAAATTTTTCTTTTCTAGAAAAACCTATAATAATCCATTATAACTCTTGAAAGCAACTATTCACTTGAAACAAATCTTTATTTTCACACAGTCCTGCTTTTTCTGGAAAAGAAAATGTGCAGTGCATCCAAATTTAAAGCTAATAAGAGACTTTAGGTTAGTGAATGGACATGGAAAAAGTGGACTGAAAAATTAAATCTGAATATCTAACTGGAATTACCAACAATGGTTGATCAGTGCGGGAAAATCTGTGTAAAAAAACAACAACTATCAAACAACCCCACATAATCACTTTCAGCACCCCACATAATCACTTTCAGCACCCCACATCATACCCCATTGTTTGAGACTTACATGCACATCAATGAAGATCACCGGTAGGACCTCAGCGCACGTTTTCTGCAACCCGACAAACACCATCATCATTAGAGCACACAAAACAGAGCATCAGTCAGAAATGCTTAACACAGCCTTGTCTGCAAAACGGGAGCACGCAACCGACGCCAAAGCGCTCACCGTGCGAGGGTACGTGTGTATTTTCTCCAGCAGAGCCATGACTTCTTTGCTCAGGCTGACTGCTCTGGAGTAGCAGGTCGGAGGCGCGCAGTCCGACGGCCACACGAAGCTGAAGAAACACAGCAGAGCGGCGAGTCCCAGCCTCATGTCGGATATATAACGCTGCTCAGGACGGCTTCCAGCTGCTCACTCAACGCCGTTTCAAATAGTAACGAGGAGGACTTGCAGCAGTTTTAAGGATTTGGGTTACAGAGAGAGAGGGGGCGAGAAAATGATGGACGATGACGTGGAAGCGCAGCGAGGTTGAGGGAAACATTTGGGGTCTGCTGTGTTTTGGAGAGCGAATCTGTTCATGCAAGCTCCAAAATACCAGAGATGATTGAGCTTCTCCTGCTGATAACACGGCCAAAATGTTTTGCAACATTTTTTTTTTTGGCCACAATTTTGTGACTTGGCAATAGCTAAAAAGAAGATATTACTGGCAGCTATTAAAAACAAATTGGAGTCAACTATTTAAAAAAAAAAACAAGATCAAGTGGGAACCAAGAGTTTCCAGCAATATAAAAATGTTCATTTTACTGAAGGAATTTAAACTGCTGCACATGGAAGTTTCAACATTTAATGAAGCTGTGTGTCTTGAGTGTGTCGGGAGGTATACAATCCTCAAATCAAACCACAAAAACACAGTAACTCGCCCAATATCTGGACATGAATAATAAACGTGTTTGACACTAATGTTTAGGAGGGCACACTGATACAACAGCAAGGGACCTTTAGCTGTTCTCTTCCCCCCAAAAAATCTTTAAACTGTAACCTTTTCAGTAAACCTGTACTTCAGTGGCCTTTTCCCATTTTAAAGATTCCCATCAAGACAAGACCATTGGAAATCATGTTTGAACTGTTTGTCAACCACCTTTGTATGATCTTGCAATTCCCTGTTAACAATGTGAAGCAAGGAAACAACCCCGGAAACAAGTCAGCTGCCTTTACTTAAAAACAAAGCCAGATGCTACATACATTTAGAATAAGCACATTTTTGCTGCATAGCAAAACTATTGGTTTATTCTGAATTTTAGTTTTATCATGTATCATAATAAAGTACCATAATCATAAAAAAAAACCTGCAAAAAAAACAATGTAAGTCTCAAGGTAGGTTTGTTGGAGCCACAGAGCCTTTCTTCAGATTAAGGAAGTTCTTTTTCCTTTTTCTTTTAGGAGCGTCCACGCGGTCACATGACTCAGGTGGATCTCGAAACACAAACAACCGGTCTCCAGTGGCGGGGACACCCGCTGCAGTGCTGGCAGGGGCAGGCACCCTGTAGTCCTCTGCTCTGTTGTGTAACGATTCATTCACGGTGTCCGCAGCCCTTTCTTTTGCAGTGTCACTGTGCTGCTGTGTGACCGTGCTTTCAGTCATGGTTGGTTTATAAACTGGCTGCTGTGCTTTAGTAAAACTGTCTTCCTTTCCTTTCTCTTCGACCAATAGTGGTGCAACATCCCTTGGAACCGGGAGACAGGATCTGGGGAGCAGTTTTTCCATCAGACTTTGCCTCCTTTCCTGGAGTCTGTGAGATCTGGAGGACAAAGGAGCTGTTGTTAGCGGGACTGGAGTGCTTACCTCATGCATGTGGCCACCGCAGCCAAGCCATGTAACTGATGAAAGCCATATTACACATCAATAAAGGATTTGTCTATGATGTTGATGGCCGCTGACCTGCAAATTAGCCTTGATGGTTGTGTAACATCAAGTCTTAATATAGCAGCTAGTAGAGTAGCACTCACCTCTCTCTTTCCACAGTGCAGCTCGGCATATTTAGCATATTTTTATGTACCACGTCTTCTCTCAGTTTGACAGGAAGAAGTCTGTTCAACCCTCCGGCACACCTGGTCAAAAAGTCATCAATATGTTATAAAGCTGGTAACTGCGATACAATCTCTGCTTTGGCTTTGATTAAAAAATGGTCAAGGATTCCTGGCTATCTGACACGCTTTCATAACTTTTCATTAGTTTAGAGGGGGAGCTTTGTGATCCTTTAAATGAAAGTATAAGAGATTAAATATTTAATCTCTTTCTTAGTAGGGTACAGCATGTTAGGCCTGTCAAAGTAATAAATAAATAATTCCAACAGCAAAAATATCACATGGCTTTTTTTCTTCCTGTTCCTACAGTAAGTCATGTGCATCGTTCACACATAAAGTACAGTGTCTGTTACCTGAATGAATGTTCACAAAAGCAGGATGGAAAAACCCATTTTTGTCAGTGGAGCTAACAGATGTTATTTCATTGCATTCAGGGTATTTCACAGATTACTGGTGATTGATTATACATGGAACAGATGCTAAAAGCACTAACTCTGACCACACTTACCTGGAAATTTTAAACAGAGCAGAATAAATGCTCAAAATGGGAGGCAACATACTGTAAACTAACGGATGCAAAAGGAGCCTTTTCTTGAGATAACTATAACTTGATATATTAGAAGTGTTTAATGTTTGCCCAGAGCAAGGGAGATATGCCGGACATTTGGTCTGAATGTTTAGTTGTATATGTTAACATAAATGCTAACTTACATAGACCGTTTTCTCAAACATGGCTGTTTAATCGAGGTAGGCAAGAGGTACATTTTATGTCCTCTTTAACTTTAGTTTTTGTGTTTTATTTTGTGTTTCAACATTAAAATATGTGATGTATCAACAATCCAGTCAATTAACCTTCTCAAATTCTTTTTCTTTAATTAAATGTTAGCTACATATTTGAAACAGGCTACTGTTTATTTGACTTAGAGGTACGGATAAACTCCATTCCGAAAACAAAAAGCCAAAACAAAAGATCTGAAAAAGAAAAGAAAAACACATGTTGTGCATTTTGTTCCAAACTGAGCACTTTAATTCCTTTGTCCTTTGGCCAGACAGCCCAGATCCAAAGAGGCCTCCTGCATGAGACATTATTCATCAGCAAAATAATCCAAACTCTGCGGGAGCCAGAGTGTTCCAGTGTATCAGGAAGAGAAGGAAATTAAATGATGAGTAAAATCATTTATCTCTCCATCTTGGCTCGGGGAAAAGGACCCTTGTGGAACCGTGTTCAAACAGTATATGTTGTTCAGATTGAAGACAATGCTTGGAGATGGGTTTGTTTTAGCCAGCTGCTGCGTTTAAATGCTGCTTTTATTTAATCAGTGACTTCACTCAGAAAACTACTTTCTAAAACCACAGAACCCTTGAATAGCTGAGACTCTGGCTGCACACTTTGGACTAAAAGGTTTTCACTGTAATCAAGTTCTTCAATTATTATTTTTTCCCTTTAAAAAGGGGGAAAAGAAAACAAGATCAACTAGGAGACTGATGCATGACAAAAGCCTTTGTTTGCCTCTGCACATTTGTTGGTAGCTAAACTCAAAAGCTTGTTTGCAGGTTGAAAGAGCCAGACAGCTTTTGCATGATGATGGGGAATTTGATGAAAGAGAGAGACAATTTGCTCCAATTTCAGTAGAAGAGGAATGTGTTGATACTAATTGTGATATTCTGTCGCAGTCCAAAAACAGTGGTGGGATGTAACTGAGTAAGGGTTAGCTGAGCCAAAGCACTCTGTGAGCGATGGGAACTAGAAACATCTCCCGTTGCCAAGTCGTATCTACGGTCCATCCTATTTACTGGAGTAGTGAACAACATTCCCACTGCATTAGAACCTTATGGGATGGCAATGATTTTTCCAGGTATTAGGAAGGACCTCAGGTGTTACCTGGGAAGTTATAGCTTGTAAGAAACTTTTGATTTGGATTGGAAAACACTTGAAAATATAAAATAATTATCTTTTTTCTTTCTTTGGCAAGTGACCATAATATGAACGGGATAATGCCCTTCAAGGTGTCCATGACCTCCACATTGTCCATTACTAATAAAAATAATAATGGAAGGGCATTTTCCCTTACTTATCCCATGGTCTGGCTGAATACTCGATTCTGATTGGCTGCTGGGTTTCCATTAATACCTGATGTGACCACCTACTAAGTAGTTCCAGCTCCACCTCAACCAACTATAACAGAATCTTGACTCTAATTATATTAATGCATGAGTAATAACGGACTGATTCTATAATATATAATAATATAACACAAAACAGTCAATACTCTAATAAGCACTGAGTTTCATGACAGTAAAATGATAACAGTGACCTGGTCAGTATGAAACCAGTCCTGCCACCATTTTCAGCAAAGCCTGAGCTAAGAGAATACATGGAGAAGTGTTAGACTGTAACCTCAAGAAGAGTGTTTGCCAGTAGACAGATCCTGAACCTGGTTCTTACCCTGAGTGTTCCTGCTCTGCAGATGATGAAACCGAGTGCTGTTTGGGGCAGAGGGCGTCAGTGATGGAAAGGAGTTCACTTTCAGGCAGGGTGGGGAGGAGAAGACGCAGGGCCTCCAGGAGAACCTCGACAGACAACTGACTCTGCTTCACCAGCCCAGATGCAAACTCCAGATCCTGCGATGAAGAGCAGGACACACAGCCACCTTAAGTACAGCTTTTCTCTACTTCCACTGGCACACAGAAGTTAGGATATCCCTGTGTTTTTCCATTCCCTTAATAGGCTTTTGCTAAATATAACGTTGAAAAAAGTATTCAGACCTGGTCACAGTTTGCATAAAGTCTCTTGAGCCCCATTTGTTCTTTTAAATATTCCATGGCTTGATTGTTGGCAGTCATTTCTTGCCACCTGAAAACACCAGAGAGCGTAAACACTGTAAAATTTTACGGCCCATGACCTTCAACAAAATTCCTCATTACTCCTGAGATAACACTGACATGACAGCTCACCTTTCAGCCAGCAGTGTGACGGCTGATTCACACTTGTAGAGTGCCTCCTGGAGGATGGACGTCATCCTGCAGTCCTGCCGCAACTGAAACAGTCTCTCCTCCTCTCCTTCCTCCTCTCCCTGCATTGGATTTGGCTCAACTCTGGACTGGTACATTTGCAGGCCATCCAACTCTGTCTTCTCCTTCTGAAGCTGTTCTTCTGCTTCTTCTAGTCCCTGTAGCGTAGAATCAAATTACACTAATAAAAATCTACAATTTTAGAGAGAAAGTCTCAGGGGTTAACTTGGAGCGCTGCCTACCAAGTAGTGGTTCTGTATACTCTGGGCCATGTCTTGTCTCTCCAAGCTCTTTCTCTCTCTGAGCTGCTGAATGAGCAGATTGTGCAGTGTGAGCATCGCTCTGGAGGTCTCCAAGACTTTGGTCCTCCTTTCAGCCTTCTGGTAGTGGATGGTGGCCATCTGCATCGCCAGGCTATCGGCCTGAGAGCGCAGATCATCCTCTCTCTCCCTCTGCATCTCCTCCATCACCTGCCAATATCAGAATGGATGCACTGTATTGGATACATCTTGTATGGAATTTAAACAACCTTTCTGTGAAATCAAGGCATTGATTGACTCCAAGGAGAATCGCTTCTGCTACTGGAGGCTTAGGATTTGATGTAATATAAAATGAATACACTGTTTCACTTAAAAGTGACTTATAGTAAAGGTAATTGGATCACTAAGAAAACAGATTTACTTTGTTCATGACGCCGTTCTCCATCTCCGTCTGCTTCTCAAACAGCTGGATTCTGTCCTCAAGCCTTTTCTGGAAAAGCAGCAGGTCAGATGTGTCTGCTTTCTGTCTGGCTGCACTGGTTTTCCCCTTGGATTGCATATTCCTCTGCAAAACAACAATATCCATAAGGTGGTTGGGAAATAACTCCAAGCATGCTGTTACGATGATTAGAAATGAAACCGCTCTGTGGAGCCCATTATTATTTCTGAATAACAATGCGCAGCCGTCCAGCGGCCACACAATTGAGGCCGCTCATGGTGTGGTTTGCACTGGTGGTTGCCATTCTCCATTTCTTATTCTTTTGAGAAATCATTAAATTCACCATTTCCTGCTGTAGTTTAATAAATGTGGGCTCCTCCCTTTGAATTACAATCATATCATGAAGAGATTTAAAACAAAAAAAGTATTTAGATCATGAAAGTGACAAACACAAATAATTACAAGAGAATCAATGATACTTAATTATACTAAAAACATACATAATCTAATGTAAATGAATATCTGTGGATGTGGATGGGATTCTGGCGTTTGTCTCTTATGTTTAATAATGTCAATAGTTATGATAGTAATGATCCACTGGTAAGATACGCCTTTATTTTGACATTTCCATGGCATGTCTGTGTCAACGTCTCCGTTTTTCATGATGATGTGAGGACGTGTTCGATGGTTTAACTGAGTTCTTTGTGGAAACAACTTGGTTGCTGCAGGCTCTTTTTTTCCCTGTTTCACTGGAAGAGTACCCGCAATTAAAAATGTGTATTTCCGACAATAGAGAGTTTTATACTTGTTTATATCAGCCTTTTTTAACTCCTTGTTTGTCGTTTGTAAAGCAAGTTAAGTGTTACAGGTGTAGGGCTGTGCTGCTACATTAATGTTTGCCTTGTGTAGGCAGTGAGAGGGTAAGGCATGATTTTCGGTTTCACACAGCCCTGTTGGATTGACTGACCGTTTTAACTCTCTCCCTCCGCTCCCTGACTATTGTCAATTAAACCTCTTACACTCAGCTATCTCGTCATCATGTAGCCTAACTGATTTTGTTAAATGGGCACAGAATATTGTCTCATATTGATCACAGGCCCCTGGATCAAATCAGATCATTGTATCGTGGCAGACTTTGTGAAATTAGAAAATATCACATTGTTGTCCAGAGAATCAAATCATATTGTGATGAAACTGGTGATTTACAGGCTACTAAGAACTGAAAATTGCATTGCCTCATGTCTTGGAAAAGGAAATCATTTTGACCTTTTACTTCATTAGCATTTCAGAGAGTTCCACCTGCATTTTCAATCAGAATAAAAGTCAAAGAATTAACTACACAAAAAATAACTAAATTAAAGACGTTCCCAACTTGGGATCAAAAAAGTACATTCATCCATCCAAACAGACAGAATGCTACAAGTTATAAAACAGGCGACACAAATATTATACCAAAAGAAGTGCAATGAGGAAGCAGTGTGCCTTGCTGCCACTGTGACTTTTTAGCAGTTACTACTACTCACAGTAGCCAAAACCAAAGACATTTTCTAATCCTGCATACAGAGGTTTTAAGAACATAACAACTAAATTCACTTATGTGTGATTCTGTGTTCACCAGTTGTTGCTCGCTCTCCTTTCTCCAAGCTGCCAGAGCGGTGTGGAGTTTGGTTCTGGAGACAGCGTGGGGCAGCACCAGGCAGCGGTCCATCACAGACAGACACTTCTGAAACTCTAGTTTCATCCTGAGCCGGTCATCTTCACACAGAGTCAACTGGGACGAACACAAACAACTGGGATGGAAGGAGAAAAGGAAGACTGACTGATAAACACATAGAGAATACCACTGTCTGATGTCTTAAACTGGTGGTCAAATAGTCTCATATTATACAGGAAGTGCTCAATTTTGAAAAATATTTGTTTCCTTCATTCTATATCTACCCCTCCCAGAAAGTCCACGGCTAATAGAAACACACACACACACACACACACACACACGAACTTTCATGTGTTCGAATTCCCTGAAATGAAATGACTAATGTTATTATGTCACTGACCTGAAGAAAGCTCTGCAGTACACCCTGAGCTCCCTCTGTTCCTGCAGCTCTCTCTCCATGGCTTCCCGCAGAGCCTCCCTGGTGCAGCTCAGGGTGCGTAAGGCCGCCTTGCCTTCCTGGTGCAACTTTTCCTGACCCTGCAAGAGAGAACTTGCTCCTTGTCCCTGGGCTTGTCCTGCTCCTGTCTCTGGTTCTACCTGCAGCAGGGAGCGTTGCGCGCCTGGAGGCAAGAGTGCTAGCAGAGCTTGCGTTGCAGAGGGCTGGATGGCTTTGACTTCCGTTATGGCACCCTGGATCACACGCATGGTCACCTATAGGACATGTAGAGGGTCGAGACGAGGATATTTATGTGGGTGTTTTTATGTATCTTTAAAAGTGATTAGTGATTCGATGAATGTGCCTGTACTGTTAGTGTGGCACCTTGCGGATGTCGGCAGCAGCCTCCTCATCCAGGTTGTTGATGAGCTCTGCTAGCTCCAAACTGTGAGCTGTCAGTAGGTTCTGCCAACAGAGCAGGTGCTGGGATACATCTATCTTCCCCTCCAGACCCTTGGACAGACCCGACAGATCCTTCTGTCTCTGTTTGTGGACCCGTAGCTGGAGAAGGCAGGAGGCAGGATTACAGGAGGTATATAAGGGTTTTGTGGTATCAATCCACAATGGATGCATTTTGCGAGTGTTTGGAGTAAACAACCTAAATAAGCATGATCCCCCCACCATGTCAGAGATGAGCTCCCGCCTCTTCTTAATCAGTCCACAGCGCATTGCTCTCCTCTCTTGACTAAGTGCCTCATCCAGTCTCTGCCTCACCATCACCAGCTCTTTCTGGGCCTTCTCTTGCAGCTGGTCTATCTGCTCCTCAGGCATGATGCTCCCTCTGGTGGAGAGATGAAAGCATGCCAGGTTAAAACACAAACTCTGGTCCAGCTTTTGTTCAGAGCAAAACTGAGGTTGATATAAATTATACATTTCTGTTAAATGACCGAAAAATATTTTCTTTTCTTTGTAAAAGTTGATATGTAAAATATTTTATAATGAAAGTGTGTTCCCTTTCATTTTCAGTGGTATAGTAGGTACGTTTTTTAGCAAATCTATACATTATATCACAAAGAGAGGCACTTTATTAATACTACTATAAAAGCTTACTTGGCCACATCTATAGCATAGTGTAATGTAATAGTGAAAGGTGAAATGATGATCAGATGATGCTATCACTAGCAACTACAATAGGCACCAACCTCCTGATGTGAGTGAACCAGCTGTCCAAATTGCTGGAGGTGCTGGAGAAGGTGTCAGAAATCAGGCTGTTGAGGCTGTGAAGGCTGTGCACCAAGAACTTCCTCTGTGCATGGCGTTCAGCTAGCACATAGCGTTGGTTGGCAACGACCACATCCAGCACCTCCTCTAGCTGATCCTGCATAGAAAAGAGAAGGACACCTGATTACCGCAAATACAGATTGCTGAAAAAAAAGAAGAAAATAATAATATTTTGGATCGCTCACTTGACAGGCAAAGTAATAGTGCTGCAGGCTCTTGGCTGTGCTCTTCTCCAGCTCGCCCATCCTGGTGGCCTCCTCCAGTTCTTCAGAGAAAATCTTGTGCAGTTCCACCCGGCGCCACTCAATGATCTGCCTCTGGACCTTCGCCGAGGCTTCTTCATGCCGGACCAACAGCATGCGCTGGAGTTGACTCTGGCTCAGCTTGTGCAGTTTCTCCAGGAGGACACTGCAGTGCAGGAGCTCCTAGTAACATTACAAACACATACAGATTAGTGATAGTATATAATGAATGCAATAAACTAACATGAGTGAGAAAAACAAACAAAGCAAATATCAAAACAATATACGTATCATCATTACCTGTTGGTCTGCATGTTGACACAGAAGCTCGGCCTGGGTCTTCTCAGCAGCTTCTCTACAGTGCTCTGCTTCCATTTCTTCCCGAGTCTCCAGGTTACACCGGCCAGCCAGAGCAGCCATGCGGGCAGCTCGCTCCTCCTTCAGCCGACCCTCCATGCCCAGAAGCTGTCCGTGGAGCACACTGAGCAACCTCTGCTGGGCCTGGGCACTGGCCTGGCCCCGGGACCGCAGGCCACTCAGCAGGGAGGACATCACATCCTTGTAGATCTGAATCCTGGTGGCCTCCAGGTTATTGGTGGCATGCAGCAGTGTAGACATTTCAAGGCTTACGGGGATAAAATGTACAGAACACAAGGTAAGTTTGTATGTTGTGGGTATTTGCTGAGATATATTGCAAAAGGTTGATAACAGTTGTTATCCTTTGTGGATTTGATAACAATGTGAAACATTAATAAAAATAAAAATGTTAAATTAGAAAATGCCACCATATTCTAAGAGGGAATCAGAGATTAGAACAATTACTGATTTAGTTCTTCTTATGACACTGATACTGACCTAAAAATAAATTGACTATATTGAATTAAAGGGAAGACTTCCAATTTCTGTTTAATACATTGCAATACATTTTATATGTTAATACCTTTTTTTCCACAAGCAGTGAATTGCAAATTTCCTCCTCTTGGTGGTGATTTTAATATCTTTTGTTCTATTAAAGGATATCAAGCCTTAAGTAGGGGTATTTAATTCCCCCTTGAGAAGTCTACTCACTTCTCCAAAGCCTGGTACATGTTCTGTGGATCCTCCAGCACCATAGTGTCCACCATCTTGTCTTCAAATGTTGCCTCATCTTTTACCGTCTCAGTCATGTTGCAGTCTGCATACTCTGGGTCTGAATCGCCTCTGTTTCTCTGAAGAAACAAATCATTTGCAATGTATATTAAAATAAAATTCTCAAATACTTTATACAGTTTGGATGTTTTTTGAATTCGTAATACCCTTTGCTGAAGAAGGTTCAGCCTGGTTCTAGGACCTATCAGGTTCATGGCCAGAAACCCCAGTGACAGCAGCACCAACGTGACAAAGAACCCCACAACAAATCCAGCAAAATGGACCCCATGGTTAGGATAAATCTAAATTGGTGGGCAGAAACATCAGACTTCTATTAAAATAAATTTTGTGACCACAAATTTGATACCATTATGAAGTAAGAATGAACATGCAATGCTGAAGCTGCAGGTGTGTTTCCAGTTAAGGAACTTCCGCAACTTACCCTGTCAGTGGAATTCACTCTCAGCGTTAGATTAGCTGTTAACGGACCAAACATACTGACATCATTCTGTGGAGTCGAGAAAGAAATACTCTGGGTAAGAAAACAGAAAATGTTCGAATTATACTGCAACTACAAAGTTGTCAGTTTGCTTTTCAAGTTAAAAAGAGCAGAAATACCTGTGAGGCGTTAGAGAAGGTGAGAAAAGCTGGAAGGTCAAGGACTTCGTTCTTATGACTCCTTATGTGAGCAGTATAATTAACAATAACTTGGGATCCAGCTAAAGAAATGAAATCAATAAAGTTACTTATTGTGGATGCACCATGCAGAAAATTCAAATATTACAAATACAATCATCTCCAAAAGCATTTTGACTCCCAGACATACCAGACAGTGAATCAATGGCAAACGTCTGGTAGCCTCTTTCCACCACCTTGCCTTCAGTTTTTAGGGGTACTATTCCAGAGATGGAGTCCCGTATAGCCACCTGAGACAGGTTAGTGCCACCTACTGGGCCCATGTTGTGAATCAGCAGGAAGAATGTCAGCTGAGGAGGATCAGTGTTGCGCTTAACCTGGGGACCACATGAGTATGAATCACTGGACAGTCTTCAGCATGTTCATTTGCAGTTTAAAACTGGTCAAGCAAAATATGTAGACATAGATCAAATGTATTGTATTCTAAGAATTAAGTTGATGTACCTGTGCACACTTGTGGAATTTGACCCCAAATGCAGATGGAGGTGCCACACTCTGAACCTGGAGAAACAGTCAGCACACTGTATAATTAGTTTCTTCCAATAAAATAATGATCTGTAGCATATGAAGTAATAATGTGATCGTTTGTTTGGTATGTGAATGCTGATTCTCCATACACTCCATAATCCAAAAATACTTATTTTTTAAATCTGCCAGTACGTAACAGATATACACATGAAAAATATACACTAGACAACAATATTTTTCTACCAAAAAATGAATGATACACATACAACTTTTGACAATCCACTAGAATAAAAAATCTCATGAATTACCATCTACATGAGATGGTGGATTGCATAATACATCTGCCTACTCCATGATAACAAGTCACTCTTAGAAACACACCTGAGGCAGAGTGTGGCCCGGGTTGTATCTGGTGAGTGTGCTTCTGCGGCCCCGGAGGTGCAAGATGTTTGACATGTAGGTAAATGAAGTGTAAAAGGAGTGTCCCCATGGACCAGCAGGTGCTGAAGAAGAGAGTGCCCCCCCTGCAGACAAAACCATGGGCCCGTTGATTTCCATAGTACCTGTCAGGTTAAGTATAGGGCGCTTGAAAAGCCTGAGTAAAGCACAGTTTAAAAATGCTGAACTTGACAATAAATAAATGAATATACTTACACATATGCATACATATTAAAGTTTTATATGTACCGGTGTACTCAAGATTTTAGTATAGTAGTCTGTAAAACTATTCAATCATCTGTACATGTACAGCATTTGAAAGAAAATAACCTGTATAAAGTCAGTGTTTAGCTATCATGTTGTATGTACAATTGTGCAGACAGACGGTTTACTGTATATAGTGTGAATTGAGAGAAAATGACACACCGTCCATCTGAAGCAATGATGATTTCCCACCGGGGTCATGTTGCATTACATGGATACTGCAGAGGCTCTACAATGGAAAAGGGGCATTTAAGTTAGTTTTATTCATTTAATGTTAACTACTTATTCACAGATCTGAAATAGCTTTAGCCAGTGACAGCATACAGTGAGATTCAGGGATAAAACACAATAAATGATATCACTGTAATTTTCAGGATACAGTTCAGAACAGGGAGATGTGATATGTTGCTGTATAAACATAGCTAGACAATAAAATCATTACAGGTGATGACTGAGACTAAACCTTCATCTAAAGAGTGAGTGAGGAGTAAAGTTACACAGTTACACGGATTCTAGGTTCAGCATAGTATAAGTCTTTACCATAAGGCCTCTTACCTCCTGTGGGGGTGTTGTGTACCATGATGCATCCTGAAATGTGCCGTCATAACAAGGCAGACGTCCAACACTGGACTCCAGCACACCGGCGTGCAGAGACTCACGCCGGGTCACATTGTGACACCAACGCAAATATAAAGGAGGTGGAAACAAACATGACACTTGGATATTCAAGATAAATAACAATATCGTGACCCTCTTCGCGGTAAAGTGTGCCTGAAGCATTCGTAAGTTGATGTGCCACCCTCACCAAGGAGAGCCGCTAGCTAACGGGCTGCATTGTGTCTGGATGTTGTCACTGTTAAAATCCGCGATGAAAACATTTTCCACAGCCTTTTTTTCTTGAGAAATATCAAAGGTAGCAACGTTTCTGACGAACGACAACATCTTACTTGGATGCTAATATTTTCAGGATAAACAATGGACGCGTTTTCAAAGATTTAAACACGAACACAATCGTCACCGTTGCACACAACTTCGGAAAACATTTCCAAAACTTGGGAGAACGGGAAACTCCTTAAGGAGCGTCAAGAGCAACAATGTACACATGTGCTTCCGCTCTCGGCTTTCAAATTAAAACAACAATGGTGAGCTCGAGGGGGCATTGGAATTGAAACACCTAAAAATATATACATTTTCTAAGAGACAATACGAATAGATGCCACCTCCATTTGAGCCAATGTTATTATGGTGGGTCATCCCCTTATTTTCTACCACGCAAGATTCTTGTGCTTTAATATTGAAGGCAAATTCAGCCCTTTTCCGGCCTAACTCCGGCTTGCTTTCCTGTCTTAACGCAGCTCGGTCTTCTTAAATCTCCTCATTGGCTAAAATATACACCAAGTTTGTCGTTTTGGGGAAAATGTTTTGCTGTACGAAGTGGTTGCAAATCGTAGGTTGCTAATATTTCTAAATGTAAAACCTAATAAGGAGGAAAAAAAACCCATTTAAAACGCAAGAAGCTTCATCGTAAAGAGCCAGAAGCTACTTTTTCTTGGAGTTTTGTCAGCGTTAAGTTAGCTAGCTTGATGTCGCCGACAAACTGCTACCATTAATAACGTGAAGTGTTGCTGCACTTTGAAGAGAAATGACAGAGCAGGCCCTGATAGCGGGATGCGCCACTGATGTGTTGGTCTGTTTCGCCGAGTCTCTGCACATATACACAGGACTGTTAACTGTGGCTACAGTGTGTGGAGGGCTCTCTGGTATATTAGCTGCTGCTCTTTTATACGTCTTCTGCCTGAAGCCTTTGCTGTTGACGAGACAAGTAAGCAAACAACACGAAACCTCTTTTTCATCACTTTTAATCGAGGTGTTATTGTCCATTCCTGATGCATATTCTCTCATGTATCATCCCATCAGGGTTACAATGCGAGGCGGCTGTTTGAACCTGATGATGGGGAATTAGACAACAACCAAAGTGACTGTGTGAGCAACAGCAGGAAGGAGGCTCCAAGTGGCACCACTAATGATAAAGTATAACATCCAAGACAAGTGGCACACTGTCTGAGACTTCTTGTAGCTACATGTTTACTTATTAACTTCCCACTAACCTATTATGTCTGTTTACTTATTGCCCAGGAGAAGAAGCAGCCACCCATAAACAGTGATGTGGCGGCATTTGCATCCAGAGCAAAGGTGGTTTATCCCATCAACCAAAAATACAGAGTAAGTCTGTCAGAAATATATAGCTTATCACATAATAGCTGCACTTTCTGCCAGGTACATAAAATAATAGAAAAATAAGACTCCTTAAAAAAACTACTGAAGTAAAGGCTTTGACCAGGGTCACTGATTTTTTATAAGATCTTGTATGTTTTTGTCAAGCACAAATAATGGTATAATATATAGTTTGACTAGCCTTTTGCAAATCAATTCATGGGTGATTGAGTGTCATTATAGCGTGTTGCAATTAGCTGGTTTATGATTATACTTCTCTCACAAATTGGCCACTGGAATTAAACTAAAATCTTACCTGCAATCTTTTGCTGTACCTGTCAGCCTTTAGCAGACGGAGCATCCAACCCATCTCTACATGAACACTCCAAGTTGCCAGCAATGCCTAACGAGGGGTCATCCTCCTCCACGGATGGAGATTCTCTGAGCCAAGAGCAAGACAACGATGACAGCAGTCAGTTTATCTCCTCCTCGCTGGTCCCCAAGAGCCTGCAGAACCAGAGCTTCACCAGGGTCTCTCACTACCCTCACACACTGACACAACCAGGGTAGGAGGCGGTACTCTGTAAACGTTAATCCATAACCTTAAAGTTACAGCAAGTATGCACAGACCCAGGTTTGCTGGAAGTGATGAGACTCTTGTTTTGTCTGCAGTTTTGAAGGTAGGATCAGCCTTTACTGTTTGGCCCTGCAGGATATACAACAACATTGCTCCCAGCTTCAGGAAGAAAAATGTCTGGTGAGTTTTTGTCATTTCTCTTTAATACAGTAATAAAATAGTTATTAAGTATATTTCGTAGAGGTCCAGTATGTTGGATTTAGTGGCATCGAGCGGTGTAGTTGTAGATTGTAACTCTAAGGTTGGCAATTACATGTAGGAAGTGACCCGCGGCACCTGTACATAAAAATGACTCATGGCTAAGGGAACAAAAACAGCAATTCTTATTTTCAGGTGATTATACACTAATGAAAACAAACCTTTGAATATTATTTATTCCGTTTATGCCCATAGAGCCTCATAAATGTTACAGACTGGACCCTTTTAAAGTGTGTTTATTTAAGTGGTTGTTTTATCCTCCATTATTACTTTTTTCCTTTTTATAGATTTTTCTTCAAATGGTGAAAATAATATTCAGCTGTCGTTTTCCAAAAGACAAAAACGATGCTGACTTCACCAAGAATATTCTTCAAATGCAAGAAAAGGTAGCGTCAGATGTCTATTACTAACAAATGGCTTGATCGACTGTGCATAGCAACACTGACATTTAGATTTTAAACCATAGGAACGTATGTTGTGTTATTTCAGGAACTGAATGAGCTGAAGAAACAGTTGTCAACAGACCTCACTGCCAGCGAGAAAAATGATGACTGTACTTTCCTAGAGGAAATAGAGAGAGCTCAGAAAGATCTTCTCGAACGGGGCCTGCAAGTGGTAAAAGAGAAGAGAAAAATCCAGAAAGCAAATTACTTAACAATTATACTAATACTAATAATACAAGGCTATTTGACCACATTTATTTACAGTGACCGGTCAGAAAATGAATTCCTATGTTTCTTCACAGTCCAGACGGTTCAGCAAACAATTGGAGGACTTGTGCCAGCATCTGCTGAAGAAGACCAGCGTTTTTTCTCCAGATGAAGCCCAGGATGTTATTCTCTCTCTCATCCAGACTCTTGTGTTATTGGAGAACCACCTGATGAACACACAAGAAGCTGATCTAAAGGTAAAGCAATGCTAGTCACTGGTTGGCATACCATTCATTTTGCTTCTTATTGTGTCGTCTAAAGATTCCTCGAGTTGAACCATGTCTTGCTTTTCTACTTCTCTTAGAGGATCCAACAGAAGTTGTTGTGGTGGGAGGAGTTGACGGGGCTTCTTCAATCCCAACCTGCCTTGCTAAAGCGGGAAGTGTCTCTGAGGCAGGGCTTGATAGCCACAACACTGGAGCAGCTGACGAGCGATGACGTTTTGACCTTTAGCCACATGGAAAAGATACTTTCAGAGGTTCAGGCCAGTCTGACTGACGGCCTTCAGCAGTGCACTGAGGGTAAGACGTGTGAAGTGAGAATGATTTCAGTTTTATCTAAGGAAATACACTGGTACTATCAGGTCAATAGAAAATAGATTTTATAGTTTGTTAAGCAAGGTGATTAAAAAAAATGTGTGTCTTCAGACAGTTACCCAAATTCTGACCATTTTTCTGTCATTTTCTCACATTATACTATTTCTTTTACTTACATTATAGTTTCTGATGGCAGAAACAGTGGACAATGTCTAGCCTACTTTCCAACTTAAATGACGTACTCTCTCAAAATAGACCATTTTCTGGGAATCTTCTTTAGCTCCTTAAATAAGGTCAGGTTCTTTCAGGACAGCACAGAATATCACGTCTGTTACAGCACCCCAGACTCTTTCAGCATACTGTAACGCTTGACACAGATTGTTGCTGCTGATCTACTGTGTAATAAAAGGCACACTAATCATGTTTAAATTAACAGTGCAGCTTGTCCCTCTAAGTAAAAATGGTGATTGACAGTGACAAATCTTTTTAACTATTTAAAACAATAATAAAGGCAATGTTTTAATTTCTCTTCCTCACAATCAAAGAAACTAATTCTTTATAGAGCGTTTGCAGGTTCAACAACCTTATCACTATCAGTAGCCTCATTAGACCATATAGCAATGTAGCAACAAGGGCTTTAATAACTGAGTATGTGGTGTGACTGCTCTTTTGTCTTTAAAGAAACTCATTATTATTATTCTGCCCACATGCATAAACCTGCTCTCTAAGGGTTGCTGATGTGCATCATGTAGAGACAAAGTAAATTACAATTCAGCATCACATAACAACTTGTGGAATGCATTAAAATGACACTTTGATACAATTTTATCCTCCAAAAACTGTATAGTTATATTATCACTGACATACTACTTTGTTATTAGAAGAACATTAGAAGAAGTATAGAATCTATACCAGTGGTTCCCAACCTTTTTTCCTTGAAGCCCCCCTGCCTGTGTCCAAGAAGTAGGCCCCCACACCCCACCCTTTTACCCGCATACCGCTAAATAGGTATAAATAGCTTAATGATTTAAATGTGGACCAAACAATATGTTTCAATTTGGATTGTACAGAGTTTTGATTTCCTCAATTGGGTGTGTTATTGGATTTTATAAATTTAATTTTTGTAAATAATAATTTTGGTAACCTCAGCAGACAAAGTTGTGCGGGGGGCGTGGACCCCAGGTTGGGAATCACTGATCTATACCATAGTCATCCAGCTGGGTTTACAAACTGACAATATTTTGAAAATGTTGTCCAGCTTCAAAAGTTTATTGATCACGTTCCAGAGTGCACAAGGAAGACAAAGGAGCTGGTGAATGACAAGTGCAACAGAATGGAGTCCAAGCGGAAGAAGCTTTTGAGGTGCCAGACCAAGGAGAAGAGCCGTGCACTGGAACTAAGACAGACTCACGGTGACCTGCAGCAGCTCACCAAGGTCAGAACATTTTGCCACCCCCTTACTTCAGTATGTAGATCAGGGATTAGTGTTACATGATAAATAGGCCAAGCAAATGCTTCCTGGTTCATAATTGTCTTTGTTGGCTCTTCTCTACTCTTAGCTTTACTATTGGTGATTACATATGTACATATGTAGAAGAAAAGACAGATAAGGTAGATAAAACCTACAGCACATGTAGATCCACAGGTATCTACATCTGAGCTGTAACCTTTCCTCCAGGCGTACCAGGAGCTGCTGATGAAACACAGGCAGCAGATTGCTGACTTGGAGCTGCAGCAGGACAACAGGGTGGCTGAAACCCTCTCTGACCATTGGAAGGTAAACAATTGATTACTATATTTTTTTATGTGTATATGTATTTCCATTCTTCTTATGTTCTTTTTCTTGTTTTTATATGTTCAGAAACTCCATTTGTGCTGGTCAAAGAGGCTTGGAGAGCTAGCCAAGGGCGTCTTTCTCACTTCCGTCCGTGCCCAGTCAAAGCTCCCTGCTGAGCGCTGTGAGGAGCTGTGGCTGGATCTGGAACAGGAGCTGGTTCCACAGCTTCAGCAGGCAGAGTGCACTATCAAGATGCAACTGGAGGATGTGAGGGCTCAGCTGGAAAAAGATGGACAGGTAGAAACCATCTGCTGGATCAATAATACGTTTTTCACTTGTAAACAGTGTTTCATGTCTCATAAATCCAAGGTCATTAGATATTAGTATTAAACATTCCATTGTTTCTAAGAGAGCCTCTTTTTTTCTGTAGGTGTGGAGTGAGGAGATGGTACTGGTGCAGGCCTGTCTCAAACATCTGAGTGAACAACAGATGAAGATCCTCCATGCCATGGTGGCCAGACAGGGCTACACACTCAACAGGTGAGATTAGAAGACCTCTCTCAAAAAGTATGCATGGCATATTGAGGGTGCCAATGATAACAACAGTTTTACAACAAAGCTTTCTTCTATGTGGCAAAATGCACTTATGCAGTATCTAAATCAATTATTACGACTTACTCAGAAAAATGCAATCTGATCTTCTTCTCAGCCAAGTGGGGAGTTTGATAGAGAAGAAACATGAGCACCTGCTTGCGGCGGTACAGAGGTACTTTGTGGTCAGGCACTTCTGTCTGCACATGCTGAAGGAGATGAGGCTGTCCAAGCTGAAGGCACTCTCTCAGACTGATTTTAGAGCTGTGCTGATGGAGGATCCCAGTAAGAGCCAGTCCTGTGTCAATTCAACTCTGAAGGTGGGAAAAATGTATTCTTGTATTAATACATGTTTAAGCACCACAAAACAAAACCTTTACAAACCTCTGGTTCAGTATGTTTCCTCCTGTTGACTATAGCAGTAGCTGAAGTTATAAGCATATTGAACACTGTTGTCGTCCTGTACCGTACCAAACACAGAATAGCAGTGCCAGCCTAGCAGAGAGGCATCTGGGTCCAGAGAGTCAGTTGGTGGGCCACAGCTTCCAGCAGGAGTTCCTGTCTGAACTGGAGACGGGGACGGAGCTTCTTCAGAGTCATGCACAGCTGGTGCTGGGAAACGCCCTCAGCCATGCCATCCAAAAGATGATGGAGACTGAGTCTGAGTCACAGACCTCTCCCAAAGAAGAGGATGGCTTAAAGGTAGGGTCTGGGTTGGGTTATTATTACTGTATTAAGCTCTCGTAAATTATAAGCAACTTTCTTTCTCTGTTGCATTAGGTGTGTTTGTTAAGTACATCACTAAGATATTTTTTTCCTCATTAGCACCACCTGACAGAGGCTGCCTCGGAGAGTGTGTACGTGACCAAAGATTCTCTCACTGCTCTGGTCCAAAGCTACCATTCACATCTACGGGACATTATCAACAAATTACAGCAGGATCAGTCAAACATAAACCAGGGTGAGATGACAATCAGTTGCACATGTCCAGATCTGTGTAAACTCTGAGTTTGATTAAATATGACACAAATTGATGCTACATATACAGCATATACATATATATTTCATTTGTAAATCATAGGAAAAATATTTGTAATAGTTCAGTCATTACTATGATTTTGTTAGACTTGGGTCATAACTGACTGTGAATTGTTAATTTACTATTTAACTGAATTATTCATCTCATTTACTGTTGGAAACCTTCCCCTCAGAGTTAAATGAGAAACAAGAGAGCAGCAGTCAGCTGAGCAGATCCTTGCTGAGGGAGCTGGTGAACTGGGGCAAGAAACCCACCTCTGCCGAGTTTCAACAGAGGTACAACAACCACACACTGCACTGCCTTTCTGCACTACACACTTGTGTGAGTCTTAAGTACATTAAATACAAATAATTTGGGTTGTTACTTTGTTTTTCTTGTGTGTCAGGGTTGAACTCCACAAGAGGAAGTTGTTGGAGCAATGTGATCTGGAACAGGAAGCAATATGCGAGGAACTAAGGCGGAAGAAAGTAGCTCAGGATCAGACCATGAAGAGGATTAAAGCACAGCTGCTGGTTAGTATGTTTCCTGTCTTTTGTACTTCTCAACCTGATAATGGGTTTATGAATTGATTTACAAGCCTGCCTAGTTATTGTCTGTAAGCACTGTGTTGCTGTGTCCATTAGGAGGCAGAAGAAAACTTCATAACTGAGCTGGCAGCCTTGGCCCGGGTTTCTCTCCACAGTCAAGATCCAGAACCAAGCGGTGATGAGGACAACATTGGTAAGCACCTTTATCTCAGATAGTAAAAATACGTATACGCCTCTCCTCTGTCTCTGTCCTTCATGTTGTCATATTTTAACAGGTAATGAGAACACAACTATACTGGATCTGCTTTCCCTGAACCCAGCATTAGATCCAGCCTTGAATCCGTCATTGACTCCAACGATTGTAACTCCAGTGGCGAAATCAAAGCCAAAGAAGAAAAGAGAACGAGAATCTCATCTCATCTGAAATCATAACGCAGTAATGTTTACATGTTGATGCAGTAATGTCCTGTAAAACGTTTACCCTTATTTTTATTGTTTATAAAGTGTAAATGCCTCTACTTGTCTACTGTTACCATTTTATTGTTAGGAAGGCCCCTCAGATTTGTTTGCATCAAACAAGAGGAATCTTAATTTATGTGTAAATGGACCCTGGTCTAATTTGATTGTGGAAGTAGGTTACTGAAATGTTGCAGTAATTACAAAAACCATACATTCCTCAATTAGTCTGTCTTTTTGTAAATGTCATTTGCTATCAAATAATACAACAGAAGCAGGACATCGTTTAAATGCATTATTCATCTTTTGTACTTTTTTAACCTGGTTTACAGAAGCACCGTGCTAACAGTAATTCATTATTGCCCTATACCTATACCCACATTGCTTTTCATACCACGGCTCATTCACCACATTGATTCTCAGTGATTCCTGAGTACATGGTGTGATGGATGTGCTGCTCTGTGAGTTGTAGGTGAATTAGAGATGTCTATTCTGATTGTAGCAGAGTGCTACTACTCAGCGATGAAAGCCTTGCCCTTCTCTTGCTCTAATGGGGTTTTAAGTACAGCTCTTTATGGATGATAATGCAATGGTGAAAAGTCTGAGAGGGCTGAAGTCTGGCAGACAGTTCTGCGTGTAGGCAGCAATGTAGCAGGCAATTTACCTCAGACCCTTATGGGTTACTGTCAGTTTGGACTTTTAGGAGTGTCAATTAGCAAACATCAATTTTTAATATGTCCTTTATACGCTCAACCTGCACACATAACCAATTATTGCTATGGCACCCTGAGAAAATATGCTCATGGACCTGACCCACTCATACACACAGGAGTGTCCAGCCAGGAGTGTGTGTGTGTGTCTCTCCTCCAATGTATCAGTTAGAAAGGTTTTTTTGACTTTTGCATGTGCCTTCTCTGATCTGTGGTGAGGGGAAACCGTTTGGATGTATTTTGAGGTCCCTTAGGGGACTGCAGTGACTTGTGGGAAGATGACCTGATTTCTAATTTTCTCCTCTCCTGCCTGAGCTGTCGGCTAGTCGCTGCTACAAACGGAGAAGTCCATGAAAGGACAGAATGAGCCGCCCCGGATTTATTTGGAACATGGCCTCGCTATTTGCGTAAAACTGGATTTTATTTGTCATTTTTAATGGACGCAGCCGCGACTGTAATTCTCTTTAAATAGATTCAGGTAAGTGGAAAGACCCCGTAGGTTCACATCCGCGTAAGCTACACCTTTTAGTAAAAATGATTCTTACAACCCAAATTGCGTTTTGCAGCACTCACTGGTGTTGTCCCAGCTGGCACACAAACACAACAGGGGGACTCAGTACCGATTGTTGCGCCTCCAGGAAACTGTCCTGTTCTACGTCTTGAGACTGTTTTCAAAAAGTGCCTGGAATAAAGTTACTGGCTGCATGTTCGTGTATTCATCGCTACGTCCCGCATTAGTTCAGTCAAGTGAGCGAGTGTGCCCTGAAGCTGTTAATAGAGATGAGAAGATTAAAAATGTCCAGTGAGGTAAAGATGTGCGCAGTGTGACGGCGTCATCAGATCAGATGATCGGTTATTTTAGGGGCCAAAAACAAGGTCGCTTTCCAGATTCTCACTCAAAGGGCTTTTTCCATCCGAGTGTAAGAAACCTTAGCAAATCTGAAACACTGCTACTCAGTTGTAATACCTATTATCTATATCAATGTTTTAGAGAATAATAATAATAAAAAGGACTGTAATACATAATAACGTCCAATAATGATTTATTGCTATTGGTTTATTACTTTAATGTGTAATATTAATATAAAATACTACACAAAATACACAACTTATATATACTTGTATAACTATAATATATTATCATTATACTTTCATTAAATATTCTGATTATACTATATAACATTATTAATATTATAAAGGACTGGTGTAAGATTTACATGCAGTTATCAGATTGCATATGGGACTTGACTTTCACCTGCAATCCTGTTTCTGTCTTTTACATCTTGTGTCAGTGGCTTTGTTTGACCTTGTTTCTTAATACAACGAATATTGCTTTGCCTTGCTAACTGCCTTGTTTTCTCTCTCAGGTGAGCAACCATGGCTAACCTGCAGCAGGAATACCCTGGGGTCCTTCTGGGGATCCTGGAGGAACTGGCCAATATGCGCCAATTGCTGACCTTCCAGGACCTTTGTCGCATGGTCAGCACCCGCTTTGACCTGGAACACCTTATCGAGCTCAGGAGTTTGCTGTTTGCTGCTGCCAGCCGGGACCCCTGTTTCCCAGCTACCCTCTTCAGAAATAGGGTTTCTGCCAGAGGCCAGGGGCTATCGCCCATAGGCGTCGCTGCTGACATTGTAACTATCTTCAATCTTATTCAGATGACGGGTGGAGCCCCTGATGATAGCCAACCAGTGAGAGCCCAGACAGTCCTCCCCGTCGACCAGTCCCCAGGCCCCAGTCTGCCTGGAATGCACCAGCTGAACATTTATGGTCGAGAAAGAGCACGTGCCCACTCTGACTCCAGTGGCAGGCCTATCGACCAACACTTGCTGTTTCCAAGATCTAATTACTCTGCCCGCAAGCGAGCAAGTCTTCCCCCGGATCCAATCTCACTCGTGTCCTCCCCTCCAATAAGGGCGAGGGCTGTGTCTTTTGACTTGCCTCACACCACACTTATGTACCCTAGTGGTCAAATCCCCAACGAAGTCATGAAGAATATCTACCTCCCTTTGGAGACGGACAGCGAGTCTAGTGGAGATTCTGCAGCCATCGAGGTGTTTGAACCTGAACCGGGAACGTCTGTCGACCAGAAGAGAAACATATTTAAGAAAGACTTCCATAACCAGCCGCCTCTGATACCACAGGTGACCATTAACAGTGAGTCTCCCAGTCCCAGCGAGGTGAAGAAAGGCTTCGTCAATCACAGCTTTGACATGATTCCAAATCCTTATCCGTCACCAACAACAGTTCACCAGTTGCCAGAGCAGCGGTCTAAACATGAGAGCCTTGATGACCTACAGGACTCAACTTACTTTGGACCTGGGTCAGTCCCAGACTGGTCCCCCCAGCACCTTCAACCTCCCAGGACACAGCGAGCCATCTGGAGCAACAAGAGTCACAGTTTAGAGGACCGTATAGGCTTGGGCAGCGTTGGAGTGGGGATGGAATCACAAGGAGGGCAACTTCCAAGACGATCATCCCCTGCTATCAGCAATTTGGGGGGGTCTTCAGGAGGTGAGAGTGGGGATAGTGGATTGCTAAGTGGAGGTGATGTAGTCAAGGCTCAGGGAACCCAGACAGACCCACCAGACCCCCGGCGCCTCCGTAGCCTGGTCCATGCCGATCGCCTCTCCTTCATGACCTCATTAGATGACCCTGAATTTGGTGAGGATGACATCAGTGCCATCTTTCGTTTCTTAGATGACATAAGCATGTGTGGTTCCACGGGAGTCCTGCACCCCAGTGATGGATCAGCGGCCATTAATCAGGACACCCCGGAGGCCCGACGTGGCCGCCTAGGTCAACTCCAAAGGCTTTTCCACTCCCTCGAAAGCAGCGATGACGGGCTCAAGGCCAGTGTGTGTAAGCTGCTGCTCCGTATGAGCCAGATAGAAAGACAACTGGAGTCACTGAACGATGTAAAGGCTGAGATTTCTCAGGTGCTGTCTGCTCTGCAGCGACTGGATGAAAAGATCCAGCAGCCTATCAGTGGTGGTGGACAAGGCACCAGTGGACGATGGCTAGAGCCTCTCAGTGGTGTGTCTTCCTTTATGAGCCACCCTCTAACCCCTTCTGAGTCATCGGAGCCTCAGCCCCTGTCTGCATCTGGTCATATGTTTCCTGGGACCAGCACTAGCAGTCTGGACTGGAGCCGTTGGAACACTCCTGGGGAGCAAACCGAGACCAGCAAAGGTCAGATTGATTCAAAGGGGAGTAAAGAAGGGAAGAAGGATGCTTCATCTCGTCGTACTTCCAAAACCCAGCTTGAGGAGAAAGGTGTCTCTGATTCCAAACAGCTGAATGTCAACTCTGCACGAGACTGGACAGTGTCCTTCTCAAAAAGTAAAGATGGCAAAGCTTCACATGGGCAGGTAGACTTTGTAAATTTCTATCTTTTCCATAATATATGTAACAGCGACTGTTAGATGACACATGGGTTTCTCGGCATATAAGCATCAGCTCTTAAAGAGACTGAACTGTAATCCATTTTGAAGGCAAAAGTATTCACACCATGTGCGTATCCGTGCTGTATGACCACAAAATGTGCTTGGCCTGTAGCAAGGCCTGTAGTCTGCTGGGTGGACACACATAATTATGTGGTTGGTTTACAAAATGATCTAGCCACTTGTGGGTTGTTAATTTAAAACTTAACAGCAGGAAACTGCTGGCCTGGTGGCCAGTTTCAGCCCTCTATCCCCCTCCGCCCCCCTCCCTCCAGCCTGCGACATGATGTCAAAAACATAATCCAGCCCCCAAGATTTTTCTTTTTCTTGTTTCATATTAATTTGAACCAAACTTTCATATACAATTAATGCAAAAACACAATGTATAATGTTGGTAATGGAAATATTTTCAGAATATTGTGCTTTTTTGTGACATTAGATGACAGTACCAGCAATCTGTTCAAATTCATTTACATGTTTAGTTGGGGTATTTATTTAATACTGATATTGTCAACTTTGCCTGTATTTCACATATTCCTAAGGTTAAAATAGTTATTGCTGCATATAGTATACATTAAATATGTGTTTGGCCCATTTTCCTTCTAGGCGGATCAGTCAGGCAGCACAACTAACCTTCTCTCCCAAAAGTCCTCCACCCTGGTGGAACAAGTGTTTAACTCGTCCCTGTTCCGCCACAAAGACAGCAGTCTGACAGGTGGACTAACCTCTGGGAAAATCATTGACCCCAGACTGGCTGAGGGGAGGGGAAGGCCCATATGGACTGTCGATGACAGAGAGGCACGAGTCACCCCGTTGGATTCACAGGTAAGGTGTTTTGGGGTAGGCTGTGTTTGTTTCCTGTCATGGCTTTTATATACTTATATAATGTGTTTTATTGTTGTCTATAAACAACTAAATGGGATCTGTTTTCTGGTTTATTTTTAGGACAATACATTATGCAGGCTTAAGATAAATACAGTAAAATACAATTCTGTGTCATAAATGAACCCTTTAATGATGCATAGCAGCAAAAAGTATTCAATATTTGAACTTTCCTACATCTTAAATTAGATTCAGATTTGTATTTAATCTATAAGTTCATATCTGCTCTATGTTCCTCAGGGCCAGGAGTCTCTGAACCCCAACAACATGGAGTTCTGGATGGATGACATCTACACTCCAGGCTATGATGCTCTACTCAGGCGTAAGGAGGCTAACCTCCGCCGGGTCAAGGTCTGCAAGCTGCTTGCACTCATTGCCACAGCAGTGGCTATAATTCTTATCATCGTCATTCCCATTTGCACCGTGGGGTCATGAAAAGCCTTGCAGAAAGCTAACATTGTTGCCTGTTTTCATTTTATTCATTTATTTTCAGCAGCTATGTGCTGTACCCAGGAACTTGCATACCATTCGCGTGGAGATTAGTGGATGAGAGACTGTGACTCCGGAACTCCTAAAGCTGCACCTCAGTACCTCCTTACATTTCTCTGCATGCAGCACCATTATTTATGACTTCTGAAAAACCGGAGGATTTGAAGTGTAGCTTACTTGAAATCCGTCCCTCATGCAGTTACAACAAATTGTAAGTAATCTCCAATGCCAAATCATTTATTTCATGTTTTTTGTTCCTTATCATTTCAGGTGGCGCCAAAAGGAAGTCATTAAAAAGTTTAAAATAATTCTAAAACAACTCTGAGAGGATATGTTGAAACTAGTAATACTGAGCCATTGCAAAAGTGTCAATTTCCTTTGATTTTCATTTTGTCTGCTCTCTTCTGAGAAACAACACTGTTACAAATGCATTGTGATTCAGCTTCAGCCTTGAGCACTGCCTGACTCTTTCTTGCTGTTCCCTTGAGAACACTACAGGGCTTATTTCACGTCTATGTAAAATAATAGTTTTATCAGTACATAAGAGTTTTACATCTACAGTTTATAAATGGTAATGGATCCTGTCTACAGGGGTGTTGTTATTTTATTTTAGTTTTAATGTTCTTCCTTTATTTAATCAACAAGATATACTGCTAAAACAAGCTTAAATCAATAAAAATAATATTTTTATAGAGTTCCTTCCCATTTTTCAAACTGGAAAATATAAGCTGTTTAATCCACTCCTGAATGTGTTTGGGTTGGAGTGTTTACCAAGTGTCAAGTTTCAAAAAATGGAGGATAAAAATCTTGTTGATGTTGAAGCAGTGAAGGAAAGAGGGAGGCTTTTCCAGTAAACACTCTTTGAAAAGGATATTCCACTTGTAATTCAATTGATGGGATGTTAGAAGTGCACCTATGCACATTATCTTTGTCCTACACTCACTTGGCCAGAGCTTTTCCACATAGCCTACCTGCAGACTCACTTAGCACCAACAGATTCATCTGGCGTCCTTACACGGATGAGGAAAGTAGTTTTGCCAGTGGTGTTACATTCCGTTTTGTAAAAACATCCTGTTAACTCAGGAAGCATTATATGAAAAGTGACTCTTGGTGCTGGTGGCAGGCTGTTGACAAAAAACATGTACACTTTTAGAATATAATGAAATTCAATATAATATTTCTGCAAGAACACTACCTTCATGAAGCTTGAAGTAGTGTTCACTTTTTGTTGAGACTCTGTCAGAGAAGTGTTGATTAAACTCGAAGGTAAGACTGTAATGCAAATGCACAATGCGTATTACAGTCTGGTCAAAATAGGCACACTTTCAAAATGACCAAATTGTGAAATTCAACACCTGACACAATCTCATTTCTAGTATTTTTTGGCTAATGTATTGTATTTCATTAATTTGTGTAGGTTTTTTTGTCCACTCCCTCTATCGATATGGATGATTTTATGTATGGAGTCACCAAAGTGGACAGAAACTACATCAAAATCTTGTTTCCGTTATCTCTAGCCAGACCAATAAACTTCACTTTGCTTTGTGAGCACAAATATGCACAGGATGTATATGGGGTGTGGTCTGCTTCAATGCATCCTCCTAAGTAGATGTTTATCTGCCAAGTGTTCCCCATGAGGCTGCTTGTGGATCCATTACCCTTCCAATGGTGCCACTGAGGAGGCCTAACCCTGCAGTCAGCACAGTCTGCATTAGAGCCTCCTGACACTCCTGTTCACTCCTAAGATGTACTTATGAAATTTGGATCTTGTTGTTGTCATATCCATGCATCTTTTAGATATCTGTGAACTCATTATTCAGGTAAACACTCTGTCTTAAAAACTGCTTGTAGATGAAAGAAAATCTGTGCAGGTATTACAGTACAAGTTACTGGTTTGCAATGCTTTGATTGTGAGGGTGTATGTTGAATTATGCTGCCTCTGAATAAACTCGGCAAAGTGGTGACATGCCTTTTACAATATGTTGTCTGATCCGATAAACAACTAATTAAGAACTAATTGTGTTATAAACACATTTAAAAACATGGTGAATGAAAAAAATGTCTCCTGAAAGCAACTGTTTTGCAATACGGAAGCCGAGAACGGCCATGGATTTATTTTTATTTTTATTCAGTTATATGGTGATAGCGACTTATTATCTCGTTATCTCGAAGGACATAACAAAGATCGTTTTTTCTCGAGATAATTAATTAAATCAATAATGTGTTCGTCTTGATTTCAACTAAGAGCCTGTGACAACAGCTTCCAGTCAAGTAAACAAACAAGGTAAGTGTAATTTACTTTAGCCTTACAGCCTACAGACCAGGTGGCCACGTTCGTGGCCAACTCTTGTAAGTTACCAAAGTTTTTATCTCGAGGATACGAAGTTATAATTATTTCGTATCTCGACATAACAAAGATCGTAGTCTCGGTGATAAGAATTAATTAATAATGGTGTTCGTCTTGACTTTTAAACCTTAAGTGCGGAGAAGTGTCCGTACACAGCTGGCTGAGGCTGTAGCCGACCGGTAATGCTGACGGAGCCGTTTCGTGCAGCGCTTAACGTTAGTTTTTGAAGTAAAGACGAACACATGTAATAATAATTCGTTGATCACGAGAATAACGATCTCTTGTCTATCTCGAGATAACCGAGATTAAGTGGAGAGTCGTTATCAACAGTGCATAAAAATAAAGTAGAAATTCCATGGCCGCTTCTCGGCTTCCGTATTGCCCCAAGAAGTTGATTTGCATTGTTCTTCTTCCAGGGTGATGCCACTAGGTTGGATGGCCAGACTCCGGTTTAAAAAGGGCCAAGAGAGGCAACTTAGTGCTAAATTAGAGAATGGGTCTGTCAGTTAAGATGATTATGTGACTTTTGAGGAAATATACATTGAAGATGAATAATTGATAAAGACGAGAGCACATATTGATGCTGACAGGTCATATGATGTCCGAATCAACTCGTAATGGACCTGCAGGACACACAACACACACAGCAACACAGTGCACTGCTAAATCAGAATTCAAGTGCGATTATAAAAAGCAGCAGCAAAGCACACAAAATAATTTTGGAGTAGCGGTGCTATTGTTAAGTGTGTGTAAAAATGCCTAATGTTTTGACACATATGTGAAATTGGTTGCAGTTGACTTTAGTGGTGTGCTGTGTGTGGTGTTACGCCTGCGATTAAAGTGGTGTGCACAGTGTGTTAGCTTGGCTGCACCGCCAGATATGCCATCCGTGGCCTGATTAATTTGATTGCTTGCTGGTGTGGATGCCCAGTGTGCAGCGAGCAGGAGCGACAGGTGGTGAGCTGGTTTCAAGAGGATATTGATATGGTGGACCGACATAATTTCCGCACCAGTGCTGTATTGCGTGATTTGATATCACAGTATGGAGAGCGAGTGAGGTCAGATATCGGGAGCTGGACTAACCTTCAAGCAGAAACCTCGCCCTGTTTTTAGTTACTTGTGCAACCTCCTCTAATGTATGGGAGACTTCGTAACTCTATTGGTTAAATAGCAGTTTAATATTAGAGAAGTTAATTAGACAAAAGAAGGAGGTTCATAAACATAAATTTAGAAATGTAGATGTACTAGGTTTCGTCACATGCACCAGACATACAACAGGGAATGCGAGAGCACGTTTCGTGTCAACCTCATCTCCACCGGGAAAGCAGATAAAGTGCACAGTGCAGCAACAGATATATATGATTATATATAGTATATATATGATATATATATATAATAAAATATATTTTTTCTGTTTGTATGGTACAGAGTAGTTTCAGTTAATGCTGCTTTCTGTAAGTATTTTCCTCTAAATCTCTTGGAGTCCAAGTCCCTGCAGTTACAGCTCTGGATGAGTGGGGGCGATAGAGCGCTCCGACCTGCGTCATAGCAACTGACGAGGAAGAAAACCGGCGCTGATTTTGAACTGTGCAGAAGAATGTGCAGACTTTGTGAGACAGGTGTGGCACAGCTGGAAGAAACAACCTAACCTCTGCTTTAACATCGGACGTTGTTACATTACATGTCAACCGCACTATCACATGAAAATCATTGCACAGGTACGTGTTTTGTTATTTTTCTTTTGACCAACGTAACAACAGGTAACGTTAGAAAAGTCGGGTCAACACAAGCTTGCTAACGTTAGTGTTAGCATACCGATAGCTTCTTAATAGGCCAGTAACGTTAAACGGGGCGTGACAACAATTTAGCAAATGAGCAGAAAAGTAACCTAAAAATAAGTTATATCGTGTTTCTTCTGTGCTTTGATGTAACGTTAGTTGTTTGTTTCATTTCAACACGTTTGAAGGTGTACTGACATGAAATGCAGTGTTGGTAACGTTACGCTTACAATGTAAAACGACACCAAAATGAAACTAACATTAACGGACATTATCGTCCAACTCGTCCACTTCTCCCCACTAATCTAAGCTGATGTCAACTCTAGCTAACCCAGCTGCAGTAAGACACGATGGAGTCGCCCGTGGTGAACCTGTACAACCAGTTTCAGAGTCTGAGAGCCCAGGTGGACGGTCTGAATGAGGGCATTGAACCACGTAAGTTATTTCCACACTTGGTTTTGGTATTTGCCACCTCCTATAGAAACCTGTAAGAGAAACACAATGGAGTTTAAGAACCTGTAACTAGGTTGGTCAGTGGTGGCATGGTGCTAGCGTTAGTAGCAGTGGTAGTGTCACTTGGTGCAATCAGTTATTAGCCCCAGACAATGAATACAGAAGCAGTACTGAGTATAGAGCCTTTGCTTCAGTAAGTAAAGGATGAGGGGACCAGGACTACAGACATGCTGTGGAAACTGATGGTGCAGCGCATGGCACAAATGGGGGATGCAATAGCTATTGGGGTGTAGTAAAAATTTCCATTTTAATAGTCCAAATAAAGCAATTCATTTCCATTGTAACTAACAGGAAACACTGTCACTCATATGTTCACTATACAGCAGAGGTCTTTGTATTTTTGCCCTGACTCTAAAGGCAATTTGCATCATTGCCACTAAAACCAATGAATTCTGGAGACCTAATTTACATACCCTACCCACCACAGAGGAAAGTAGTTTATTGTGCACAGAGGCAATACAACAATCTCCTCCTCCGTTGTCTTATTCAGAGTTCCTCCAGATGGCAGTGAACTTTGAGGAGTGCCGTAAGAAGTGGCTGCGGTCAGATGAGGAGCTGGTTTCCTGTAAAGAGGGTCTGGCTAAAGCGCAGACTGAGAGGGGAGCCCTGGAGGTCAAACTAAAGCATGCTCGCAACCAGGTGGATGTGGAGATCCGCCGGCGGCAGAAGGCGGAGGCAGTCTATGAGAAGCTGGTTGGTGCAACACTACTTATAAGTCTTGTAAATCTGCATGTTTGTTCATGGGACACATTTGCAGTTGCCTGTTTTTTCATGTATGGACCTTTCTCTGTCAACCTGCTGCTTTGTGGGTGTAACAGGAACGTCAGCTACAGCTGATCCGGGAGCTGTTAACAGAGAACAACGGCAACAGTGTCCACCTAAGTGAAGAGCAGCGCTCCGCCCTGGCCTTCCTCAGTGCTCACTCCCAGGCAGCACAGACTGCTAAAGGCAACCTCAACTCCAGTCGAAGGTCAGATCCTCCTTGGCTCTGAAATAACCATTATAAAGGTTTTTTATCGATTTTGAAATGCAACTTCCTGTATTAAAGCGCATGTAATTCACCGGAACATTGTGTAATTCTCAAACTCACCATGGACACAGGAACAACACCAGACAGGAAATTTAAATTCACTTTAATTTATCTTACAGGTTAACTACCATCGATGAATCAGCTTCTTTGTTGTCAGACATCAGCTATGACCAAACAGACGACTCTCTGGTATAATGACCCATTTCCATAAAAGTTCACTTTATATTTTAAGAGAACTGATGATTTGAGGTTCAGATAGTGAGACTGTTCATTAAGGGTCATGTGTAATGAATTGGCATTTTAAGTTATATAGTCAATCTCTTTCTCTCTTCTTGCAGGACTGGGATTCATCTGTGATGAGGACAGTAAGACTGCGAAAACGTCAGAAACGAGTGAGTCGTGTCTTTACCCACATTTTGAATAGATGCCTTCAATATTTTCTTTCAGCTTAGGTAGTTTCAATCTAGGTGTAAAGGCAATCAGTGATTTGACTTGATGTCTTTCTATACATTAGCACAACTCTGTCTTACTATTTGTTTTCAGCAGTCAATCCATGACAAAGGGTTTTTGTAAATTACTTTACATTTTTATTCCACAGCGTTCCTCCAGAAAACTCTCTGAGATTCCTTCACAGACAGTGAAGAAACCTCGCTCTACTGGACGCACATCAGATAGGGTAATGCTGACCTCTGCAGCCGAACACACTAATGTTTGAAAAATGGTCTGCTCCAGTAAAACAGCTGTGGGTGATTGGGTCTCTTTATTAGAATAACTATTAAAATGGCTATAGACAGAAAATGAACCTCAATTACTTTCTGTCTAAACCAACTCAAATGTCTATTAGTTTACTCTAAAAGAAAATTAAAATATATATTTTTTTTATATGATTCAGCTGAATGAGTCTATAGTGACCAAAACCACCATCACTGTGCCTGTAAATGGTGGTGCTGTCGAGGCCGTCTCCACCATTGAAACTGTGCCTTACTGGACACGCAGCAGAAAGAGTGGTGAGAACTTTGTAAATCTTTATTTTTTTAAAAAATTCTCATTATGGGACCTTACAACAAAATTAATTGATTTTGGCATTTTACCAACATGTGATTGTGTCCACAGTTGCTCCAGCATGGGCTGACACAACCACTACTGACCAATCTGAGACTGCCAGTGAGGCTCCCAGCACACCAGTCTCAGATTTCCCAGCCCAACTCCGAACCCCCAGAGCTAACGGAGGAGGAAAGAAGCACCACTTCATCGCCAAAACAGTAAGACTGTAGACTTATTGTTGTAAAACTGAAGCATTCAGATTTAGACTGTGTATCTCTCTGCATCGTTGCTACAAACCGGACGTACTGCTTGAAGTATCTACTCCTCTTTGGTACTGTGTCCCCACTATCATTAAGGTGATCAAGTCTGAGTTCTGTGTACCATGTGGGAGAAGAACAAAGTTTGGCAAGATGTACCTTCGCTGCCAGGATTGCAGGGTGGTGACCCACCCAGAGTGTCGTGAACGCTGTCCCCTGCCCTGTAATCCCACGGCTATCAGCACTCCCATCAAGAACACAGCAGAGGTACACTTTTCACATTGCTTTATGTGTGTTTCCATTCCACAATTGTTCATTTTTTTCATTTTACCTACATATAAATTGGCATATTTTGTATGCAGGCCACCCTGGCTGACTTTGCTCCAGTCACCTCCCCAAAGATCCCAGTTTTGGTTATCTACTGCATTAAGGAGATTGAACACAGAGGTCTGCATGAGGTGAGACAGACTTTGAGAGTCCTTGGTTACTTGTCGCCTTTGATCCTCACCCTTGAGTGATTACTGTAGACATTAGTCATCTCATTTAGAAGTATGTTATCACAGGCAGTCAGACAATGAGAGTTGGTTTCTTTTATCTTTTCCTTGCCTCAGGTCGGCCTCTACAGAGTCTCTGGCCACGAGCGCATGGTGAAGGAGCTGAAGGAGAAGCTGATTAGAGGCAAGACTCTCCCTCCGCTTAACAAAATAGATGATATCAACGTCATTACAGGTGTCCTCAAAGACTTCTTCAGAAAGCTTCCAGAGCCGCTGCTCACCTTCCACCTCAACAAAGCCTTCATGGAAGCAGCTGGTGAGTTTCTGAGACTGGTAGAAACACTTACAGGAGATTTCTGTCTGTATCTGTCTAAATGTTTACCTAGTGTTATTTTTCTAAGAATAACACTAGGTAAAACAAAATCGAAGTATCTGAATTGGGTGAGTTAAGGAGCTCCAACAGGCACGTACAAGAATATGAAATGACTGGTGTTAATGTTTTATTGTAGAAATCCAGGATGATGGCAACAGTCTGGCCATGTTGTATCAGACCATCAGTGAACTGCCTCAACCCAACCGAGACACTCTGGCCTGCCTGATGATCCATCTGCAAAAGTAATTTTCATTATGTTGTAGCAGAGCTCAGCAGCCTTTTGTTTTATCTTTTTATTACTCCCATGTGCTCCTATTGGACTTTTATCCAAATTGCATAGGGTTTGAGACAAGAGTGAGCAAGCATGTTGTAACCTCCTTCATCATCACAGCACAGTACAGGATAACTTTCATTGTATTTCATTGTAGTTAAAACTATTAACCCCACCCCCTCCCTTTCTCCTTTCCCAGGGTCTCTCAGAGTGTGGACACCAAGATGGATGTGAACAACCTGGCCAGGGTCTTTGGTCCTACTCTTGTAGGTCATGCTGTTCCTGACCCAGAACCCATGACCATCCTGCATGACACAAACAGACAACCAAGGGTAAAGTGAATGAGAATAAAGAATAACTGCAATGTCTATGCATTATGTTCAGAGCCCTAGTCCAGTGTTTATAAAGTAGCACATCGTGTATGGCTGTGTGTGCTTTTGTTTACTTCGATGTTTCTGTTCTTTAGAATGGTTTTACTAATATTGAATTCATGTAATGTCTTTCTAGGTTATAGAGCGCTTGCTTAGTATTCCAGCAAGCTACTGGGGCAACTTTGCTTATCCAGATAATGCAGGCATGGACAATGCTCACCACACTGATACCCCAGATCACAAAGGTAAATCACTGACAGGTGACTGCCAAGAATGAAAGTTTCACTAATATTAGTTCGTAAAGAGTACACATGACATGACAGTAAAGAGATTAAAACCAACTTTTTTTCCTTTTTTAGTATTTGTACCCATTTGTAACATCTTTGGTTGTCAAAATGAGCTGTGTCGAACTTAGAATGCATTGATCTTTAATTTATCTGTAGTGAGCATATTGGGACCAGTGACCACTCCAGAGCACCAGATGATGGCCAAAACACCTTCCTCCAGCTCACTGTCCCAGCGCATGATGCACACCTTCTCCAGCACCACCATGTAAGCTTGCTAATACTCTCACACACTCTCTTACAGGGTTAATACAGAGCAGAGGAAAAGCAGGGCCACATCCTTCAAACGGCACTTAGTAGAAATCAGGCTAATGGCAATAGCTATAACCAATTATCTTATTAATATTATCATTTTATTAATTATCTTAATATTATCATTTAGCTATCTTTTCTACAATGAAAGCAAGATTTTGTTAATCTCAGAATTTAAGAAAATCTTGGATAAGTGTCTGCTGTGTGGACAGTAAAAATGTAGCACTGTGACTGGTTCCTCGTTAACTTGTGAGCCCCTGCACATTCATTTAAACATTTTATTGCTAGATATGTCTATATACAATGCATGGGACTGTAAAGAACATAAAGATAATTTTATTCACAGTAGGCCTTTTTTTTTACAGAAGATATTTTGAACATGTACAAAAAGCACATATGTGCATAACAGACTAAATGATAGCTGAATTACATTTAGCTGTTTCAGGTCCTTGTGCTGTGTGTGCTGTCACACTGTAATGGCTTAATGGGACACTTGAATAAAACAGTGACATTAATTATTACTACTATAGAAGAAGAGGAATAATCAGGTATAATAACTGCAATACCTGTGTGGGTGTACCAAGGGTGTGTATGGCCCTTATCTTAAAGGCAAATGGTTAAGTTTCATATTTTATGACATAATGTTGATACTATTAAAAACAGATAAGGAAGAACTATTTAGGTCTTTCAATTAAAGGAAAGACTGAATTCTCAATAATGCACTGAAAAAAATGTTAAACATTACGCAGGCTTGTTTTATTAACAATGTCTTGTGTAAACAGCTTGACACTGAGATATCACAGGCCTTGTTTAATGTAAAAGGAGCATGTTAACTCTGTGTTGGAAATGGAGGTTGACAAAAAAAAGTCTTGGTCAAGATCCATGTTAAGAATGGAGTCCTGTTTTTACCTCTAAACATTTGTCTTCGTACCTGTTCTGGCTATTGCGTTTGCTAAAATGACTCTGACTAAGCTTAAAATTCTACTCCCCCACCCCCCCACCCCCCACCACACTCTTAGATTTGGGAGCAAGAGCAAAGGATCAGCTGCCTCTAACC